GATCGTGATTTTCTTACCACGGCTATAAATTTAGAGACTTTATATGAAAAATGTCATATATGTAGTTTTACCTTTAAGCAGACAATATGATTTAGATTGTAGCACCTGTTTATACTCGTATATCGGCTTACCTTCAGCAAATATCCGCCCTTCGCTATGTACATATTTATTCGGTGTGTTTAACTTCATACGTATTGTATAACTCATACATACACTTACATATATACATCCACACACTGTATTATATAAATTCATTTGCAAGCCCTAGTATTGTTATCGTCATCTTTATAAGTCTTACTGGTCACGAATCTCCTTTGAGGAGATTTTTAGGCCATTGTTAAATTCGCCAAACACATCAAAGTACATGGTCTCAAATTAGGAAATTACCTGTACGATGAGTACCAGAGCACCCACAACTATTTAGAAAAGTTCGTTTCCCAAATTGGTCATACCGAGAATTGAACCCAGGACCTCCTCATCCAGAGGTCATAGTGCAAATCGTTTCGGGCCATCGAGGTCGTTAACATGTGTTACGCAAGAGTTGTAAAACTTCCTCGATTTTCCTGTTTATTTATCACTATGTTTTTATCACTTTTAACGTAAATAATAGGATTATTTTAACTTGTCATGATCGAGTAGTGTTGCGCGAGCTTAATTGGATTCACGTAATATACACTATAACCTAATGGTTCGGATACAAAAGTTACGTATTGCAAGTTGTGACGACAGACGGTTTGCTACGAGCCGTAGACACTGCTACGTCACCATGACGCGTAGCGAAAGCACAGAAATTACCTTATCGCTGGGTACTTCGGCCACACCTTAATAAATTGGATACGTAGAAATAATCTAATAGCAGTGAAAAAGTTCGTCCAGAGTAGTACTGCCACCTTCCCTATTTCTGCCGCCAAGCAGTAGTGTCAGCGTTACTGTATTCCGGTTTTAAAAGGTAAGGGTGCTGGTGAAATTACGGGCACATGGGACTTGTCAACTTATGTCTCAGGGTGACGGGCGCAGTGGCAGTGCCCCTCAGATCTTTGCGATTTAAAGCTCTAAGCGGCACTGCAACTGTTATGGACAGGCGTGTCGCTTGCCACCTGTTCATTTCATCACTTGATATCATAAAATAAAACCCTTTTCTTAGAGATGAGCTCCCTGCAAAATGGGAATGCAATATAACGGTTGTCACGCAAGCTTTTATCTATCTACTTATAACAATACAAAAATACTGAGTTAAGCAATCAATCTTCTAATTCAGTCGTATAATTCCTCCTTCATGTTGAAGCGTGAAAATTAATACATTAATGCAGAGCACAAAACGGGTCGTTGGATTACTGGAGCCTAATATTGTTGTACAATGGAAGCCTATAATCGTATGACCCGCCTTGCGGCCGTACACAATGTCTACAGTACTGTAATTAGGCACGGACATACGGTACATGTGGCATAAATATTGTAACGCCTTTTATGAGTTATTTGCATAGCCCTTTTTGACTTGCGTATTTACTTCTTACAGTTTTATTGAATGGAACAAACGCAAAGACTCGAACCAGCGTTTGTTGCCTTAACGTGACTGCTATTACCAACTGAGCTATAGATTGAGTCAGCAGATCTTACGAGTTTCTGTACGTGCTTCTTAAAAATATTTTGGCCGTAGCGCCATTTGCGAGAATCTTATTACTATTTTGATTTAATTTTTTTTATTACTTTCTATAAGTGCTTGTGAACTTTGTGTTATTTGCCAAGTCAAATAAAGTCGATTTTATTTTTCTATGGAGATTTAGCCAAAATATATGGCTACCATATTAACGCTATTTATGTACTTGGTCTTTCGTTTGGATCCACGAGAAATTCTCCTTCGTCTTTATTCAATGGTGCCAACCTGGCTGCACAGTTTTTATTAGTATTATTAGTATTGTTCCTATATACTGTACAGAGAGATAGGGTGTTCCGGGGAGATTACGAGCTCGCCGGCAAGACCAGGGTACAGCGGGCGTCCGGGTCAGATCCTCCGCCAGTGATGCGCCTTTACGGGCATCTCTGGTGGACTCGGACGTGGGTATGGTCTCGCTGGGGTTTGCGGTTAGCTGTAGGGATGAACACGTTCATCTGCCTCGGTAGCATGTGGCCGGGGTGTTCATCTTGCGCGCAGCTAGCGCGTCATAGTAGCAGTCTAGACGAGGGCCTAAGGCGAGGAGACGCGCGGGACACGTGAGTTGCCCTTTAAGTCGGAAGCTATGTCCGGATATGATCGTAGGATACTGCGACTGGTATCTCTATAACCAGCCCGGAGAGATATCCTCCGGTCCCTCCAGCTGCTTAGGTTATTGGGAAAGACACTGATTCGGCGTCGGGAAGCGAGCGTCCGTACAGTTCCGCCACCAAGGAGATTTGGTAGTTCAGAGTCAATGGCTTAGCGGTGGCAACCGTTAGTGACGCAATGCGCATTGAGCGTGCCTACAGCTCCGGTACCTATCTGGTACTGGACGCGCTTCCGAGGCAGCTCACCCAAGGTTTGATTTGATTGGATAAGACACTAGCCTTGTAGGTCTCTGTGTGGGCTTGCTTGCACAGGTTATAGTGCCCTTCCCGTATAACTTAGAGGTTGACAGAGAGGGTCTCTATAAACAAAAGTTATATAGAACAAAATATGGGACTGTTTTTATTAGCGTATTAATTTACGCGGTCGGTCGTCTACGCTCGTATTTTAAACTTCATGGTTGGGAATTGTTATGCATTGCATATTGTATGACTTGTTTGTTGTCCTAAATAAATCAACTTTTCTACCACTGGATTGTAATTTTAACGCAAAATAGTATGAATAATTTGGTAATATTTTCACGTACCTATATTGTTACAGAATATCCAGTTCTGAGTCCGTCCCTACAATTGCAAAAGCTGTAATCCCATAACGTGTTCCATTGTAAGTGTGTTCACACGCGTTTGGATTGCGCCAGTCTTAGATTAGCACAGTTATACCACAGTATTAAGGCGGCTTCCCACAGCCGGTGATATCACAGACCGCATTGATTTGTACAGGTGCGCTCGCACCACAGGCCCATACACGCGCCGTGATATCACGGGCCGTGGGAAGCCCGCTTTACAATATATTTCCTACAGTAGCGCAACGTCTTTGACGTTCGGCGAAACCGCCGCCCGTATAGGTCACAACATGGACAAAAATGTGGTTATTATTGCAACATTATCAGGCAGAGGACCTCAAGGATGAGGAAGATATAGAGAGAGGGAGCGCAGGGCACTGTCGGTTCGTACGTAGGTTCACGCGGTGCACTATTGGAGTGAAGCTAACCCTCTTCAGAGTAAATGTGCTTATGAATAAATGTCTTATGATTATTATTATTATTAATAGCAGTAGAGCTCCTTGTGAAAGAGTTGGTCCAAGGAAGTACTGCCACCTTACCTATTTCTGCCGCCAAGCAGTACTGTCAGCATTACTGTGTTCCGGTTTTAAAGGGTAAGGGTGATGGTGAAATTACAGGCACATGGGACTTGTGAAATTACGTTTCATGGTGATGGGCGCAGTGGCAGTGCCTCTAACATCTTTGTGATTTAAAGCTCTGAGTGGCACTGCCACTGTAATGGACAGTCACTTAGTATTATAAAAGAAAAAAACAAAATTAGTTCAGTGGTTCTGATGTGAAAATGCAACAGATAGACAGTTACTTTCGAATTTATAATATCAGTGGATAACTTATCTAATAATAAAAGATTTGCAAGTGGCACACTGCCAAATATGTACGTGACACTTTTTAAGATGTTTTCTTTTTATGAAATTAATTTTTTATTCTTTTACAACTAAAAACTTAGAAGCCTTTCTTTATAATTCAAAATTACACTACCTTTTTTATAATTAAAACAAGTAAAAATTCAATAAAAAGGTGACCTTGTGGCGACAAGTTTTGGTTAATATGTTTATATTATCCAATAAAGTAATCGGAAGAAATTTTTAGGGGTTATGAAGCTGAATTTGTGATTATTATATTGCAGCATTAACAACGCCCATTACCTTTAGTACTTCAAGAGTTATAATGAAATAAGGTGAAAATGATACAACTTGAAATTTTCTTTTGCGTATTCCCAAAAAGTTGGGGTTTTGTGTTGAGTCATTTCCATTTTAATGGTGCGAGGGGACTTAACACAACTTTTTAAGTTTATTTTTGTACCGTGGCGCGTTTAAAATAAGCGTATTACAAAGTTAAAACCATGTTGTTTTATAATTTTGACAACAAATATTATTGTTCTTAAGTAAAAAAAATGTTGCTATCTTAGAAAGTTACAAATATTAGTTACAAATAATATTATAATAGTTGCAAATATGTCCATATTTGACAAAAGTAAGATATTCTCCTTATTTTAGGAGGTTAGGAGGTTACGATGCAAACAAAAATCTTTCAATCAAGAAAAACACTTCAAATATCATCTAAAATACATGAAGTCGTAATATTCCAGGCTTGTAAGAGTATTTCACTAGTAATTCATACAAGAACATTCATTGATTGCAATGAAAAATTAAAACTTACGTGTGAAAGGTCATGTTAGGAATTTTTCGTTCCGTACGGCTTTTATAGCCTAAAATATAACAATGCACCTTTATTGTGAGCTGCAATAATTACTACAAAGGAACGGTTAGTAACGTTGTAAAAAAAAGCACAAAGCTTAAAAGCACAAACACATAAAATCGATGCACATCAAACACTCGGAAGGATTTGCTGGACTCAACGAGGGTTGAGTCATACAACCAAAACCGCATACGTAGAAAGGGACAAAATACAATATTGTTTTCTCGTTTACTCTGATATGTCTGTGCATAAATCTCGCTTATACGGTTTTTATTATTTATAGGAAAAAGTTGTAAATTTAACAACAATTTTTTTATTTTTGTTTTTTGTTTATAATCTTTTTGGGATTTCACAGGGAGGTATTAACCATTACAATTATGTGTAGAAAAATAATGTGAAAAGAAGCAAAAGAGTACTCACGAATGTAGAATTATTCATGAGCAGCCTCGTGGTGAAGTTCCTCACGTTGAAGAGGGTCAATCCTCCCCACCGGTCACGGAACACCAGTTCTTCGTCTGCAACAATACAAATACATAGATTAATGAATAGTTGAGAATGTAACGCATATAATTACAGGACTTTTTCCAGTTTCAGTTTCAGAGCTATGCAAGTTTTTGAAATCAACGGTTGTATTGTTGACCTATTTCATTATTAAATTTCCCGCTTAAGTTCACCTGGATTGTTTATATACCTTAATAAGGTTGAAATTTGATTAACGTCTGCGGACATTCTGTTTTGTTTTTTAATTAAAAATAGACATACGTTTTGACGACATAGGTTTCTCACAGATGGCGCTACGGTTTCGATTTTGAAGGGGCTAGTGAAATTAGGCACATGGGACTTGTCAACTTTTGTCCCAGGATGATGGGAGCAGTGTCCTTTAGATCTTTACGATGTAAAGGACATATACATATTATATTTATAACATCAAGTGACGGGACGAATAAGTCGTGCGCCTGATGTTAAACTACACTTATATACTACTTGTACATAACAGTTGCAGTGCCACTCAGAGCTTTAAATCGCAAAGATCTGAGACAAGTTGATAAGTCCCATGCGTCTGTAATTTCATCAGTACCCTTACAAATCAAAACCGGATCGCAGTAATGCTCACATTACTGCTTGGCGGCAGAAATAGGTAAGGTGGCAGTACTTCCTTCATTGGACTAAATCTTTCACAAGGGCTCTACTGCTACTAAAACTACGTTACAAATGCTATACGTAGTCATATTATTTGTAAAAGCGTTGTGATTGGTTCTTTTAAATGTCGTATTCCATATCACGTGACTTTAAATTCATCTTATTGGTTTGTTCAATTTCCCGCATTGTCGTGTTTTATAATATCTAGATCGTGTTTAGTCTCGAAATTGTTTGACATCAGTGGCACATTGCCAACTTGACAAATATCACGGCTAGAGTCCCGGGTCACGTCTTGCCCAGGCAAAGAGCGATAGGGCAAACAGGTGAGCCAAATAGGTCACTCGAGAAATTCCGAGATTGCTTTTTAAATGGCTTTGCCAATTTGTTCAGGTGCTTGACAAATTTTGAGAACAGTGGATTGGCCATATCTGTGTCGAAATTCTCGGAATAAACATAACAATAAGGTATTAAATTATTGATACAATAGATCTCCTTGTGGAAGAGTTCGTCCAAGGAAGTACTGCCATCGCTATTTCTGCGTTGCGTGTTTGAAGGGTGCTGGTGAAATTATAGGCACATGGGACTTGTCAATTTATGTCACAGGGTGACCGGCATGGTTCCAGTGCTTCTAAGATCGTTGCGTGGCACTGCAACTGTTATGGACAGACGTGTCGCTTACCAACAGGCGCACGCCTTACTCGTCCCGCCACTCGGTATCATAAAATGCTCTGCGACAATTTGTCGTAATGTCGGTACGAGTTCCAAGTTTGAAAGTTTTCGTATTTTCTTTTAATAGTTTAATAATCCCGTACCTCCACAAGGTGGTCTTAATCACAACCGGAAACCAAATGGCTGCTGCTCATTAGGCGACACGACACTATAATAACATTGACACAGATATTAACCTAAATGTTTTAGTAGAACGGTAAATAATGCAGATGGAGCTAATTTTAATAATGGTGTAGCAGCTTTATTGTATAAAAGGTAAGGCTTCTTTTATTAAAATAGGCACCTTGTATATTATTTATACTGTTGATTTCCATGATATTGTCGTTAATTAAAAGTACCCTATAAAACCAGTGGTAGCTCAGTAGTAAATAAACAATATTTGTTTATTTCAGACATTATCTGTAATTTCATTAGTAGTCACATAGTTACAAATTCATTTACCCGTATAAAGGTTGTAATCGTTAAGTATGCCCAGGCGATTATCTATGGAAGATATAAGAGTTATTAAAAAGCTTTGAACTGATATCGAAAGTACGTTACCTAATGAATAAATCGACATCAATAAAATTTAAAAAATAAAACTAGAAATATCCAAAATTTTAACATTAAACGCTCCCATATTTTTTTTTGTTTGGTAAGAGGTAACAATAAGTTAAGAGATGACAAAACTAACAAAAATTAAGTAATAAGTAATAAATTATTTGGTCAAGTGTGAGTTGTCCATAAGAATGAATAAAATTGATCAATTTTGTTAGTTCTGATCGACGCAGTTTCATGTAAATAATAATAACATTGGGACAGCAGAAGATGGAATAATCGCATAGGCACACTTAACGATTACACCCGTATAGGTTTCTATAATCATATTCCGGTTGATATTCAAAGTTTGCCATACACGAGGTTCAAAACTATAGTCAAACAAAAACTTTATACTAAAGGTTATTATACAGCTTCTGTGTACTTGGATGACGAAAATCCATGGTAGTGACTCGTTTAGTTCTTGCAGATAGTCTCGATAATGTTTGAAATAAATATTGTATATGATAAATGTGTACAAATGTTTGTTTACAAAGATCAACCCCTAGAGCTCCTTTCTCATTATTCTCAGGGGATTTGCCTTACAAGTCGTGCGCCTAGGTATGCATTGCCAGGTGTCAGGTTACACTGTAAATGTATTAACGCCGTATTGTCCACGTTCAGGCTGCATTAAGCAAATTTTCAGAGCGACGTGATTTCGATTTTCTACTTAGTTGCCTAATGACACTTAAAAAGTTAGCCATATTAAAGCTAAGGCGCATGTCGTCCTTTATTAATACACTGTGATAAGACATAACATTTCTTTATGATACAAAGTGAGACAAACAAGCTGTGCGCCTGTTGGTAAGCTACACTCCTATCCAAGACAGTTTCAGTGCCACTCAACGCTTAAGATAAATTTATTTCAATATCTAATACAACAACAAATAATCTAATACAATTATAATGAAAACAATGTTATTGAAGATAAAATATTAAAATAAACAGTAATAAACAAAAAAAAAATCTAAATTATGTAAAATAATCATGGTAAAATTAAACATTTTAATCTTAGTGCCTAACAGTGCAATTGCGATGCCTAAACTAAGTACATGTGTACCTGTATTTTAGGCATAATAGTGCATTTTTCATAACAAAGCTTTAAAAAATAAAGATTTTATAAATTTAACAAATGAAAGATAAGTAGTTATAAGTAGTTATAATTTATAAAAGATAAGTAGTTAAACATTACTTATTATATAAATATAAATTATGAAATAACTTCCAACAAGTCCTCGGTATCATTGTAGGTTTTATTTACATATATATGAAATAAAGATTATTTCGTTCGTGTTTTGTTGAATGGACGAAAGCGCCATTTGTAAAATGTTTTTAGAGGAGCATGTGATAGTTTTTCGCGACTGTTTGAAAATATTTACATTTTTTTGTGACATTAACTGTAATCTTTGAGGATTTGACAAAGAGAAAACGTCACAGTGTACGACTTACATTAACCTGTGCTCATACGTAAAATATATCTAAAATAACACTCCAAATAAACTAACTTGGAGCTCAAAAACACGTTTAAGTAAATTATGAAACTGCCAACTTTTCTATATTAAAATCATTGACTAATGTAATGTATTACTAGAGAAGTAACAAAATTCAACTGAACCTTTAATTATTAAAGATATACGGTATGGTTGGGCTGTTAGCATTTTGGGGCCCTACTCTCGAATCACGAAATCGCTCTGAAGACTCTTGAAGTTCGTCAATGACAAGACGGGCCCGTTCGAAACCACTGAAGAAAAAAACAATGGAAGTGCATTAAGCCTCGATTACTATCACAACCGCTGTCGCCAAAACTCACACATTTCATAATGTTAAAAATTATGAAATCTTGATAATGTTTGGTCGTGGTGTCTAATTTAAAAAGATGTAACAAATACTGGACTTAATATAATTTAAACTCCCTCATCACCTATCTACCTCATCAAAACCTATTATTGCAAGTTACGTTGTTTTGGTTTTATATTGAAATTTCAATCAATGTGCTGCCATCTAGCGTTTCATAACTGGACTACCACGCAGAGGTCCCAGGTTCGTTATTAAAAAAGAGGATAATACGTGTAGCCTCGAAACGTATAATTTAACATCAATGCTTGTGCCATATTTGTTTAACTACACAGAATCCAGAAATTCACGTCTATTTTCCTTTAAACTAACAGAAATTTAATTGAAACGAGTTAAGATGAACTCAGCTCGGAATATAACTTTGGGAGTTATATTTCTAACTTAGTCAAAACAAGTTATGAGATTAACTGTTTTATTATTTCATAAGTTTTAATGAATGTAACATGAGAAGAGTTATGTGAGTGATTAAAGATTGGTTTTTAAGCAAGGCTTTTATTCATCATCTTCAACCGTAAACCTCACTGCATGGCTTGTGTGGCCTTTGAGAGAGTAAGTTAAGTCTTAATCCGCAGGTTATGCTAGTAAAAATATCATGATAGACAATAAAATAAATATTAGAAATTAAAGTCTCAGGTACATATCCTTTTAACGACAGGGATTGAAACCGGACGCTTTGTGAAGTTACTGTTCTCTCACTGGACTTACTACCGAGGGTTTACCACAACCTCTTAAAAAATATTACTTTAACCTTACATTGACTTTTCGTACCATGACGGGCTTAAAATGAGCTTATTGTAATGTTAAAACTATGATGTTTTATTGGCGACTTTAACATTGAAGTAATATATAATAATAATAATAATAAATATCTTTATTAACTTTTTAGCCTTATCACTAATATACATAAAAAGTTGTTATTATGTCAAATTTAGCTATCTTAAATTAGTTACTCGGACTCAGTGAAAACAATATTATTTTCGAATTTATTGCCTAGATATTGATTTGTAATGATTAAAAGTTAAGTTGAACTTATTAATTTACATAAATCTCTTTAATATCTTGTTATTTTTAATTTAATTTTTAATTTAATTGGAAATAATTTCTCGTTAATTAAAAATAGGCGATGTTTATTTCGTAAAATTATGATAGCGACATCTATATGCTCATTGGCGACACTAATAGTCGACACTAGACTATAACTCGGAATTCACAACGT